ACGCAGTGTCGATCTTTTGATCGGAGATGGGAAAATTATAACTCGTCCAATCAGCAGATTGTGTCCTCTAGAAACAGAAATTGAGGAGTCGATAAAAGAAATTCCTAAAGAAACTAGCGAAATAAAACAAAAAGTAGAAAGTTTAAAAAACACGACGATTAGTGACAAAACAGCTCGTACACATAAAATGATCTTGAGAAATCAGAAACACCCAATTAGAATTAAATCGACTACTACTCTGATGTCACTCATGGTTTTAGCTTTAATTAGCCTTCCTGTATTAAGTACAGACACACTTTGGTATCGCTGTGGACAATTTGATTATTCATGTCTTATCGGCCTTTCGTCAATTATTACCGCACTTTCCGTCTATAGATTCGAGTGTGAAAGTTGTGAATTGCAATGTTCAAATAGAGGTGTTGTCGTCAAATCGCCTATAGAAATCCAAAAAACGGCAGTGTGCTGCATGAAAGACCATTCCAATTTAAAAGAATACACATACGAAGTTGCCCATGAAATCCTGGTCAACGACTATACCTGTGAGGCATGGTTCTGGGCCAACTCTCAAAACAGCATCAGTAGGAAAATAGAGTGTCCGGCAGTCAATGAATGCGATCTGTTTAATTGTTACTTTTGTCTCGAGCAGCTAGTCAATCCAACTTGTAATCCTAGATGGGCAGCCTTCTTACTACTCTTGTCAATCTTCATCTTGAGTAGCCTGGTTGGAATACTTTTAACAACCATCCGTTCTTTGCATACTATCGTCTACGCCTTAACCTTGATTTTGAAAATGCCATTTCAATTAACACGTTGGATACTCGGCAAGAAATGGGCAAATATTGAAGTAAAACGACGACTACATCGCACTGAATTAAATATTAGAGAAAGAATGAGAAATATAAACCGCCAAAGAAGACAATTTCGATATCGCCTAGCAAATGTTATGTTAGGAGCGATGACAGGCATATTAATAGTAATCCCAACATCATCAGTCATATCTATAACTACTCAAACAGAGAGTTGTTTAAGAGGAACCAAAGGTCTTACATGTACCATCAACAGCGCAACCACACTCACTTTACTACCAGCCGGCCAAACTAATACATTACTTTTGCGGGATGAGCATGGACTTACTCTGGGTACTATAACAATGCGTCTATTGTCTTTAAAAATGGTATGCCACCAGGAATCAATCGCGTGGTTACGTTCATACCGCGTTGAACCGACTGCTGTCAAAAGGTGTCCTCGAGCCGGCTCCTGCTTCAACGACCATTGTGAAAATGTTCGGCCAAATAGTCACGTCAAGGAATTACTAGTTGGCAGAGAATTACCTGGTAACACATTCTGTATCCCGTCGACAAGTTTCTGGGGCAACAGTTGTGGACTGCCTTCATCAGCTTGCCTCTACTATAGATATTTTGCGCGGCCAACAAGCTCAAATGTTTATGAAGTGTTTACATGCCCAAGCTGGAGCCCAGAAATAGATGTGGATCTCACGATAGAAACCAACGGGGGCCGTCGTCAAATGAAATCCATCAAATTACACCCGGGCATCACATCAGCCTCAGGGAACATCTCCATTACACCGTTGGCGATATCTCTTCCACCCATGCCCTTACTCGGGTCAACATTCGTCACTAACGGACAAGCCGTTTCAATCGTCAATCGACTACCTGTGGATTTACACTGTGGAACCGAAGAAGCAGCTCGATCTCTTAATTGTTCACTCGACTTAGAAGCGTGCAAGGAATGTTTCCCGAACCACAGTGACGGGACAGTGGAATGTAATTGCCGCGATGTAGACTTGGATGCGATGATGGAAATTCCGGAAACTCGACTTCCAATCACCAAGGCAAAAGTGTGGCTCGAGAATAATGGACCGACGATTTCAGCGACTTACGTATACGCACCTGTGCAAATACATCTCCAAATGAAAGGGTTAGCCATCCACCTTCAATTACGCGACTCAAAGTGTTTTATTGAGGAGGCTCGACTTCATGGATGTTATCGTTGTGGAGTGGGGGCTCAGATAACCTATAAATGCCGCTCCGACTATGCAAATCCCTTAGCTACTGTCAAGTGTGAAGATGGTACTCTTTTCGTAGCTCATTGCTCGACAAATGGCACAATTGGCAAAGAAACTATCCCCTACGGCTATTCGGACGTCAATACTTTATGCACCGTTGATTGCCCTGCAGGATTGACAAAATTCGTCTTAAACGGCACTTTATACTATATTCCTCTCAGAAAGCAATGGGGACATCAAATGTACCGCTCAGAACAAATCATCAACGAACCGGAGACACTCAGCTTTTGGCCAAGTTTAGGATTCGACATTTGGGTACTATCCAAACTTCTTCAAGGTGGACCAATATTTCTTGGCATAATATCGTCAATTGGACTTGCCTTAATCGCCGTCTATCTCTTTATGCGCCTATCGCCAATATTTCGAGTTTACCGACAAATAGCTAGAACAATCACCATCCTAGCAACCTTGGCGCGAGTTCAATCGTTAACGACAATAAAGTACGCATCCATCGACAAACCCGAACCGTTTTCGTCAAACCCGAACCAATTTGGATGGAATCTCCTTGGGATTGTCCTTGTGTCGACCAGTATTATAATTTTAACGCTTCGATTTATCTATTTACTTACGCCAAAGCCCTTTCGGCCCTTCTATCGACAAAAACGCCAAAAACATCCTGCGCCGATACTACCCGTCATTCCATTTATAATTATTGCACTTTCAGTGTGGCCGGCCGGATGTCCTTTCCAGGAAAAGAAAAAATTCCAACGACTAACTAGGCCACCCACATTTTGTACAAGTGAGCGACAAAACTATGATATCACCCTAATCACAGCAAAGAGAAAAATTCCAATCAACTATCAGTATGTTCAATCAGAATTCCATCACTTTTACGAAAATAAATTTAATTTCAACACGCCCACATTTTTAAATATAAATTCAACTGCAAAATCAATCATTATTAATTCTTTTAAAATTTTTAATAAAATGTTTACTGGAGGTTTTGGTACCCCGCGTCGAGCTAGAATGATACAGAGACAATTTCGCACCCCCTCTCAGTCCCCACCTAAAATATCGCAATTCAATACCGAGCGTCTAGATTTACACCTGGCTCGTATATATGGAGATAATTGGTTCCATACAATCGAAACCATCGACAAAATTACTGAATATTTGAGAAAAATGGAAATCCAGGACACTCACAATTGTACGACCATCGTCGAATGGGATTATATCACTTATCAGCCAGCGAAAAGTTTGTTAGTTCATCCAGGGGAGTCATTGGTATCTCATTGGTGTAAAAAAGGGCGCCCCATCAAAGAAGTGCACTTACCAGTATTGCGTCAAAGCGGGGGAATCATTGGAACGTCAAAATGTTCCCGACAAAAGCAGCGTTATGGGTTCATTCCTTGGCGCATGGGACAATTCCATCATACTTACTTTCCCCTTCAAAACTTGGAAGTGGTTCTCCACCGTCATCAATCCCCGAAAATTCAATCACCTGAACGACCAATATCGCATAATCCCTCCCCTGAACGTTCATCTACGCCAATAGAAGAAATTTCCCCAATTAAGCCTAACATTTCGACTGCGCCAGATAAAGCTCTCGACAACTTGTTGCAGGCGAGAGATGCGTTGGATCGGGCGATTGCTCTCTTAAGTCAGCAGCCGTCGACTTCGCGCATCAATTAAATTTTTCCCACATTTATTCTTTTGTAAATATTCTTTCCTTGTTCATTCTTTTCTTCCATTCTTTATTCATAATATATAATTTCATTAATTTACAGATTTTAAAAAAAGTTCTCTATTAAATTTATTATGTCACGTCGAGCAACTATCAAACCACCAGAGAGAGGAGAGTCGACTGCGACTTCTGAATCTTCCATACCTAAATTAAGAAGCCTTGCTATTGTGGCACCAACCTTGCACAAACCTTTTTCAAATTGTTCCTACTACCCTGACCGTGACCGTCGATCCCCAATTCGTCATCGTCGTCATCGCCGAACACCCGGTCGCACCATCCACCACCGTCGTCGAACGCCTCGCAGCCCTGTTCCCGCTAATAAACACCATCGTCAGAAATCTCCAAAACCCCCACCGCCGCCGTCAAAACCCCCATCTCCTTTGCCTCCACCACCTCCTCCACCCGAACTCCCCCCAATCAAATCACCAATTAAAATTGATGCCGAGCTTTGGACAACCATCCCAGAAAAAACCAGGGCCATCATAAAACAATTGGAAAAGAATTTACAGCAAGTAAACGCAAATATGATTGGCCTGGTGGCGATTAACACTTTAGAGGGTTTGGCGTCGAATCCAACAGCCCAGCAATATCTTGAACAGCTAGTACAAAAAATTTCAGCATTACATCCTACCACTAAACAATTAGAAGAATTTCTCCCTCACCAGAAAGATGACGGCAATACGACTAAACTGTTCAGGGAGGCGTTTGGCATGAATTTGAAACTCAAGTCGGCTGGTGGCGGGAATGTCGAGAAAACGACAAAGAAGGGGGAAAAATAAAAATTAAATTAAAAATAAAAATTTTTGTAATAATATAGAAATTTATATTTTTTATCTAAACTTAAAATCTATAAATTTCTAAATCCCACACACATTAAAATAACCACCTTTTATCTAATAATTTTATCTCTTTAAATTTCTAATAATTTTTATGCTTATTCATTCATTCTGTTTTTTCCTTTCCAATTTAATATCGCCAATAACTTTGTGGAAATAAATAAATAAATATTAAATTAATAAAATTTCTAAATTGTTTGAGTTTAAATACAATAAATTCGCCTAAAGTCTCAATTCGACAAGCTCGTAGTTGGATTCGTATCAACCCTCTTTTATTTATAGGCAGTTTCCCGACCTGTTTATCAATAACTTTATTTTTCTGTCAAAGTTTACTCAGGGCATTCTTCCCATTGATCCTATCTAATCCTATTTAATCTCAATAAAAAATTTAAAGGAACCAAAAGGCGTCAATCACGTCACAACAATAATAATGACCTTATATTACAAAATGGGTCTAAAATGGATACAAGTACTGATCTGGCAGAAAAGGAAGCAGAAGGAATTTACAGAGAAAAACAGGCAAAATTAGAAATGGAAAGGCAACGACTTTTACACAATAATCACATTATTGAAGAAGAAAAACAACGAATTTTGTCTGCCTTAACAGAACGTGAACAAGAATTAGAACGGGAGAGGCAAGAACAGCTTTCCCTTACAGCAAAAATTAGACAAATGCAAAGCAAATTGCTTTCGGGAGATGGAAATTTACTTGATAGAACGAGAAAACAGGAAACTTTGATGGGGCAGAGGAGGGCTGAATTGGCTGAACAAAGGGTTTTTATACAGGCGGACCTCATTTTTAGATACACCCAATACTAGGTAACACCTCGATATAAGAGACTATTTGGAAATGAGGGAGTAGCTTAAGAAATTTCCTATTTCGAGAGGTTCCTTATTTCATTAGGAAAAGTTTTGTCTGTTGTATTAGCTGTAACACTTTCGACGGCTACATACAACAAATTCGGCCATGAGATCATGAGATGAGATGACATGAGATCATGAGATGACATCATCAGACCATGAGATCATCTCATCAACCCATGAGATCCCCGCTTCCCATTTAGTTTAATAATTTCTACTCTGAATTTTGCTTTTAATAATTATTTAGAAATTAACGTAAATTAGATTTGCTGAAGAGTTGAGGGAGTTGCTAGTTGGGTGAGTTGCCTCCACCTTATAGCTTGCCAAATTCTAAAAACATATCTTAAGGTATATCTAGTTTTGAGTGTATCTTATATGGAGTGAGGTCCGACGTATAGAAAAATTTTTTATGATTTTTTTGATATTTTAGAGAAGAGAACGAGAAGTTTTGCAAAGATTAGAAATTCAAGAGTTGGAAACAGCAGAAATTAAACAAATATTTGCTAGTTTACAACAAGAAGTTGAAGCAAAGAGGAGAAAATTTCAAAAATTAAATAATAGGTTACAGCAAATGCGTCTAGAATTGCGTGATAATGAATTAACAAACGCAAGTGAACGTCAAAATTTAGAACAAACAGTTCTTGAAATGAACAAAGAGTTGGCTTTAAAGTAAGGAAAAATAATACTATGTAAGGGGTTACCTTTACATATTGTATGAAGTGATAAACATATGTAACTAACGGAACATAAGTAAAGGGAACATACCTATACATAGTGTGAAGCGAATACGTCTGCAGTCTGAAGAGAAGATACCGTAAATGCCGAAATAATGTCCCTCTCTCAAATAATTACCCCCGCCCTATCAATTACCCTCTTCAGCCAGAGATCGAAAAAATAATTACCCCTCTTATAAATAGTTACACATAATTAGCCTGTCTGAAAAAAGCTCAAATAATTGCCCTCTCCCTTTTACTTACCCTCTCCAGCGTGAGGTTGAAACAATAATTACCCTGGGTAATTATTTTAACAAATACGAAGATATTGGAGATTTTGTCTTATAATATGTGACAGATGTTAGGCTAGCCAATTTTTAGGCACACAGATCATCTATCAAGTGGCTAACTAAATTTTAGATGATACGTGTCTTAAACGGTGGTGTGTGTATTAGCTTTTATCTTATAATATACAATTTTGATTATTTTAAGGTGGCTTATTATCGATAATTTCATTCCTGCAAATGTAGTCGAAAATATCAAAGATAAGGCACAGTTTGATGACAATGAACATCAATGGATTATTAGAGAAGGCCCCTCTAATCAACAAAATTTTTTGTTGGAACGTCGCCGCTCTATTCTTGTCGAAAACGAAGGTGGAGGGTTGGAAAGGCTAAATCTTAATAATAGTCCTCAACAAAATTTCAATTCTCATTTGAGAACAACTATGGCTGATTCTGGATTGGGAAGGTGACTCTACTTACTTACAATCTTCCCCCGCATTCTAATTTTACTCTTACATATAGTAGCAATGGTTGTTCCTCAACCCAAGGGCCATCCGATGCTAGTTCTCAAGAGGACGGAGGTGTAAATTCAAATGATGTTGTGGATTTTGCTGAGCAAAGTACTTCACAACACGAGAATGCTTTTGTTTCCCCTGCAAGACTATTGAAAAGACCGGTACATATTTTTAGGAGAATTATTTGAGTTGTGTTTTAGATGGCATTCTTTGGAACAACCCGCCCTATTTCCAATTGGGAAATGACACTTCTTGGCAAACTTAAAAATCAACTAACACGCTCAAATTCAAAACAACATTCTAGATATCCTCCAAATATAAAAATGAGTCAAATATCTAAAAATGGAGAATTGCCAGAATTTCTAATTTATGATGAGGTGAATAAATATATAATTTTATGAAATAAAATTATAAAAATAATTTTAAATCCCTAGCGCTAGTATTAAGTTTTAGATTTTTTAAATTTTATTCCCTTCCACAAACTAAAGTTTTAATGAAATTTATTTTAATTCATGCTTAAGTTTAATTATTAGTTATCGCAAAAAAAACTTGTTTTAAGTTTTTCAAAAAAAAACTTATTTTCATGCTCTAATTTTTATTCAAGTTTTAATTAGAAACTTAAGTTTACGACCTTAAAACTTAAGCTTAAAACAAGTTTACACTCAAATTTTAATTAAAAACTTAAGTTTGCGTTATTTTTTCTTCCTCTTAAACCTTTTGTGTCTCAACTCCACCTATTTAAAAATAATTCAATTAATTTAAGGTTCTCCGTTCATGTTCCCAAAATTTGTTAACATTCCAATCCCTTTCCCCTTACGGCTCTCAAGTTAATTCTAACTTGGAAGAACAACAACGGCCACCAACAAGATCAGGCAGAACATCTAAACAACCAACCCCAAACTCAAAAATTCAAAGATTTGTTGTAGATACTTCTCGAATTCCAATACCTACCCAAAGAAGTGTTAGCAGAGATAATATTAATAATGCAACGACAACATTATCTAGACCAATGTCTGCTGCAAGCAGACGAAGGGGTTCGCTTGCGAGGGGTTCACAATCTTCTTTAATTAGTTCTGCTACTCTAAAGCTTTGCAATAATGCTCAAAATAGTCAACAAATGTACTTTTAAAATTATTGTTATTAAGGGTTTTAAGCCCTTCCCATACACGAGATTATAAAATAATTTTAGTTGACTCACCTTTACAAGACTAATAGTTTAGGCATCATTAGGGTTGCGTAATCGAATCGGGCCGACGTTCGAGTCATTTTTTGGGACTTATTTTTATCGGATCGAACCAACCAAGTCGTTTTCGGGCCAAAATTCGATGCCCGACTCGATTTTTCGGACCGGGCCAGCAACCCTAGGCATGGTTATTTATAACGAGAGTCAGCTTTAATTGGTCTTATACAGGAAACTCTCTCTGTTAGAAACTACGGATACGTGTAAGATACGAGCAATCTCTGCTTGGCAATCTCTTCTATAAGAAGGATTGCCGTTTTCGAGTCTGGCCATACGAGCCATTTTTTTCGTGCCAAATATTCTGTGCCCGATTCGATCTTTCGGTTCGAGTCGGTCCATTTTGGCAACCCTATCTATAAGTAATCTCCACTTTCTATCTCTATTATAGATACCTAGACCCGTTTGGAGAAAAATTTCATAGCCAAGTCTCTTATATCGAGTGCTTGCTTATATTTTTAAAAATTATTTTCTTTCATCCTTTATTCTTTTAGTTCCAGTCCAGAAAATTTATTGCTAAATAAAAATGGACATTCCAATAATAATTCAAAAAACTTGCGTGCCCGCAGCGTGTTCAGCAACAACAACAACAATTTAATTTTAAACAAAAACAACGAAAAAGGAAACAACAAAAGAATGGCAGAATCTGCCTCGAGTGCCTCCTCCTCTTTAGAAGGAAAAATTGGAACAACAATTGTACAAAGAGCCCCAAGCAGTCCAGCAATTTCTGGACGTATTCCAATTCCCCTTCAACCAAATTATCCAAAAGCAAGAGGCCTTGTTGGAGGGGGAATAATTGGTGGAGGTGGAAGCAGAAAATGAATAAATTGGAGAGAAAGGAGATTTGGGAATATTTTAAGGTGAAAATTAATTTTTAAAATCACCCGTGGGGTTGGGGATGCAAGAACGGGTAAACGTGGGATTGAAGAAAAAACTGAGATTAATTTTGGGGGAAAACCCGGTATTTAAAAAATGGAGAGTGGAGAAGGTAATGTGGATGTGAAACGATAAATATTGGGAAAACAAAAAAATGACTTGTCCATACCCATTTACCCTCGGTAGCGAAGAGGGTAACATCTCTAGTCTACATATTGATATACTTAAGATCATCTCTAAATTTACGATTTATAAAAGATAAGTACCTAGTCTTATACTTATAGACTAAGGTACCCTTTTTAATTCTATGTATGCCTTTTGTGGCTCAAAAAATTTTATTTGAAATCCAGTATAATTTATTATTGAGAAAGTTGCTTAGTTAGCCCCATTAGACTGCCCCTTTTATCCAGGGCCAACCAAAATTTAAAAAAATAATCTTAAACCGAGGGCTATGTAATTGGGTTGTACGTAAAATTGAAATTTATATTAAGGCACTTAATTCAGCAAACAACAACTATTTTTATCAAAATTTATCTGAATCAAGTACACGTTTACAACAAAAATCACCATCAACTAACAACACTTCAAAAATCCCTTTATTTATTGGACGCTCTTCAAATTTTGGAATTTATTCAAAAAATAAAACAAAAAAATTATTAAATAGGGAAAATAAAGGAAAACAATTGTTCAAGGCTAATAACGAGCAACAAATCGTTCCTTTTGTTTATTCTTCATGTGCAAGTTCAAGGTGTTTCTATGCTTTAAATTTTTTTTCTGATTCTTTGACGTTTTATTTGTTCAATCTTCAATCTCACTAGATTTTACACGTAACTCCTAGGATTGGCGTATCCTGGAATGTTGAATAATCCTAATGTGGGTTCCGCCAACACTAGTTTGCCTCTAGACTAAGGTTGGCGGATCTGAATCCGAAAAAAGGCCGGATATCCGGAAATTTTCGGTTAGGATATCGTATCCGAACATCTAAAATTTTGGACTAATTTTCTGTTTTTGGCTCCAGTTTCCTTTTAGGGTTGTCGTTTCAAGACCGAACTAAATGTAGAGCCGGGGATTTTTTGGTTCTGTCCTTCAGTTTGGTTTTGGATTTTTTTTAATTTTTGAAGAACTGACTATCCTACTTTTCGACTCCTTTTCCCTGTTCATGAGACACTGACTCAACTTTTTTTACGCATATTTTTTTATTAGACTTATAAATATTTTTCTTTTATTAACTGATTTTAGCCTAATTTTTGGCCTTTATCCAATTTTATTTTATAGAGAAACACTTTCATCTTGTGGAAAATTTTCTGAGGAGGATTCAGAAGAGGACCACAAAAATGACAAAATTAACAACAGAAATTCACTGAACTTGAATATTTCACCAACTAGTCTACCTTCATCATCTTGGCACACAATAGGCATTGCCCACTCCCTTCTAACCAAAATTCAAAATAAAAATAAAAAATCAACAAAATTTAGAACATTTCCCCTCTTACAACGTCCAATATTTAATAAAAATAATTTTAAAAATGAAGAAGAAAATTGGAAAAGTTTTTCTGGAACTTCGGGGAAAATTTTTAATTCTTCTCTTTCTCCATTCTCAAAAAGTTTTTGTTGTACTAGTGATAACACTAAATTGTTCTCAAGCTCCTTACAACATTCTTTTAATTCAAAAAATTCTTCAAATTGCTTATGGGAGAACAATGAAAGACCCAATTTGTAGTAAGTTTGTTAACAATGTTTTTGTCGGTATTTATTGCGCCCTCCCCCCTCCCAGTCCGCGATTTGGCTGAAGTCTATGAAAAAGAATTTTTTAAAATTGTATACAGGAGATGGGACCTGCCTTATTTTAAAAACAAGAAAAGGCGAAAGTAAACGGAAGAAAATAAAAAACAGAAGACGGAAGCAGTAGTGCCAAATAAAGACGGAAATCGGTGAAGGACGGAAGCGGAAAAAATCCCGTCCTAGTTTTATACTATTTATTCGATTGATTACCCTTCATAAATTTTTTTGACCTTTCGCTGGAAGGAGGTGGTTAATTGAATAAGGGTAATTAATCGGTATGTTGAGCAGTGCTGGGAAGGCTCAAAATCGGGCAGGATTCTGAAATGCCTGTAGCCGGAACCAATATTTTAAAAAATGCCGGAGTTACAAAACCCGCACAAAACCCCCCATTATTAAGTACTGATTAAAGTTGTTTAAAATTTCCCCTTTTAATTGTTTTATAATTTTTAAATAATTTACAGCCACAACAAACTTCGAAAAAATATAAAAATGCTTCAACATCATTATAAGCTCCACAAGATTCGGCACATTTTTGGATTTAAACGGTTTTAATCTTTTGACAAAATTAAAAAAATATATTGAAATTCTTTAAGGCGTCAACATACTTCGATTCATTTAAATTCGAGTTTGTTATCCACTTTAAAAGAACAACAAAAGGTTAACAAAACACAAACATTTAACAACAGCACAATTTATTGGGCAATTGTTGTCTTTGCTGGCTTTTCTCTCTTTTTTGGAATTTTTTCTTTTTTGTTCAATATTCTACTACTTGTTTGGCAAAATAATTGATATTTATACACATATGTTTTATTCTGAATTTGAACACGTTGCGGGCAAAAAAATTTTTTCAGTGATTAAATTAATCCGTTTAATTGTATATTCCAATTTTTGTTTTAATTTTTAAATATAAAGTACACTGCGGTGCAAAAGTTTATCTACACCTACCAAAAAATTTTTTAGAACGATATATCTCGGGGAAAATTTGTTTTCATGAAATGATTTTTTTCACTATTAGCTGGGCTTTAGCTATTCCTCTCCTTTAGCTAGTGCAAAAGGTTATTCGGCGGCTGGGAGCGAACCAGCATCTTCAGTAGACCGGACTGACTAATCTAGACCGGACTGATTACACCACGCCGCCTACTGCACAGCCTTGGGAATTAAATAGCTACATGCTTTACAAGAGTTTAACAAAAGTTTAGAGGAAAAAATTTTTTTCGGGCAGGATTAACCTGTGACAACGCTGACAGTGATCGCTTGTTATATGCAGGTGCCTGACAGGTGCTCTACCACTAAGCTACGACTAAATTCTCCAAAATTACCTACTTTGTTTCTGCGCTAAGGAAAGCTGATTTTGTTCTTTGGATTTTTGTCTTGTTAATTCCCCCTTCGTTGAATTTTATTTATTCAGATATCAATTTATGTAAAATCTGTCGTTAGTTCTAGAAAGCTTTCTCTTTCTTACTTCCAGCTAATCATTTTACTATAAAAGCATTATTTGTCGTAATTTAGCTCCTCTTAACAAATACCGTTTCTTCTGCCCTTGGCATTCTGCCCACAATAAAAAGTCAAAAAAGAAAAACAAAAGGCAGCTTTACAACCGTCGTGGAAGACGGAACGTGATAAGCTCTAGTAAGTTTGTTCAAATATCTGTCGCTTTCGCTAATTATAAATTTAACAAATTTTAGCGGAAACTACTACCACCACCACTTCTTCGTCTTCTAGCAAACATTACGAAAATATTCCAACTTTTTCGTCATCGTCGTCAAATAATTTTGCTCCTCGAAGACCTTTGCCAAATAACAACGACGGTGTTTATTCCTTAATGAGACTTGGCGATCTAGTACTTGTGAGAAATTCAGAAGATGGTGTATCTTTTCCGAATACAGACGAAGACGACTATTATCTAAGCAGCAGTAGTGGGGACGAGGATGGTGAGAGAATCTTTAAGATTGCTCTACAAAACAATAAAATCTTCCTTCTTTTAAGATCATCAAGAAGTGACTACTGCTATTGAGTACAAGCAATCCTGGACAAGTCCTCGTATGAAACAAGCTGTCAGTAATGTACGCAGATTGTCTGCTGTTCGGAAAACCAAATCTTATGGAGATTTGCCCAATTTGTTGAATGTGGAGGATGACAATTCTTATGGTAGGGAGAAGAAAACCTCTGTTTGAGAACTTAAAACGGATTTTTTAGGTGAATATAAGGACGAGGAGAACGGGACAACCAACAACTATTCGAGTAGTTATTCAAACGATGCAGACGTTTCTTCATCTTATAACGAAGTGGAGGGAGGCTCTTTCTATTTTACTCGTAGCTGGGTTAGTTATGGTGTGTTAAGCTGATTATATTAAAAAAAACTCCAACAATTTTTAGATCAATCTTCTTGGCAGAATCTGTTTCTTATTCGTCTTATTCAGAGGAAAGCAATGTCAGCTTCTCTACATCCTCTGCCTCAACATCCTTCTCGCTTGTTGGTAAAACTGTTCGTGTTGTTTCCTTCAAACAGTCAAATATGCGACTTAATCCTGAGAATATTCAAGAGTCTAATGTAACCGAGGTGCCAAGATCTTCACAACACAAAGACGAGTCGTCTTCACAAGATGAGTATTTTATGGCAACAAACGAACTGTCGTCCAATTCGTCGGAAATGTATTTCTCTGATGCAGTCTCTGAAGAAAAGGTGATAGATTCTATTAAATAAACTTGAAAAAAACTTAAGTTTACAAACTTAAAAAAATTAAAGTTAATGCAAATCAAGTTTGAACTTAAAATTCTAAAATACAAACTTAATAAACTTGAAAAAAAGCTTTAAGAGAAACTTAAGTTTGCAAACTTATATAATAAAAGTTTGGTAATTAACCAACTCTTTTTTAATTTTTAGGTGCCCAGACTGATGCCAGAATACAACCTATACAGTACGCAGCAAGAATTCCGAAATTGTGCCGTTGAAGCTTGCAATATGAACACATTTCTACAACTGATTGAATGTTCATTTCCTCAAGAATGGTTCGAAAAATAATTTTTATTTTTCTTATAAAAAAATTTTTTTCAAGCTCCGAACAGATTCTAAACAACTTATTCTTCGATTATCATCAACTTGATGTCAAAAAATGTGGGAGGATTCAACTCTTGTTGTTAGATGGAAAAGTGATGGTATTTTTTTGTATTTTTCTTTCATTTTTTAAAAATGTAAGGCATTTTGTGACCATTTATTTTTAGAAAGCTGTACAACAAAAAATTTAATACATAATAGAGAATAGGGTTAGTCCCCGTCGTGGGAGGGGGGGGGGGCTCGGGGACGGGGGAAGATTTTACTGGGAATTAAAAAATTTTTCGATGTCTACGGTACCATAAGTTTTAGGCGCCAAAATAGGTTATAAATTCAAAAAAGGCCAAATATTTGTTTCCAAAATTAGCTTTATCAGCCACATCAGTACCAGAAACATTAATTAATAGTTTGATAAACCCTATCATATTTTAATACATGTAAATTAAAAGTCAAAATTTTCCAGATATTTTTTAAGCAAAACTACGAGTCCATTACGAGTAAAGTACAATAAGCATTTATGTTGTGCCAATTTATCTTAGAGACAAATTCCACAACCGATGGTGTCTCCGCCAATAAATCCAGATTGAGAAAATTTCACATGTTTTGAACCTGAATACCAATAAGTCCTAGTAATTGAAAATCCAAATGATTTTCGAGCGGTCCCAACTGCTGTGTTCGGGCCAAACAAAAAATTTTATATTGTCAAAAAAATCTGCATCTTCAAAAAACTTTTCAAAAACAAAATCATTTCAAACATTTCCTAAATAATTTCAATCAAGATTAGTTAACCATTTTCCCAACCATTTTCCCAAGATTAGTTAACCATTTTCAATTTTTAATACGCAATTACAATTTATACACAAATCACACAAATAATTTTATATTTCAGACAAAATCTTTATCTTCCAACAATTCTTAATTTTTGTACATAAAATAATTTTGTCCAAAGTTCATTTTCTCACTTGAATCAGTTCCAGACAAACTAATTGTTGGAAAAAGTCCATTGGACACATTTGCATTTTTCTTTTCACCTATAATTTTCAAAGTTAAATTTTATCTATTTTCTAAATTAAAACTAACCAATAAACGTAGAATTTCTTGTGAAGTAAATAAAATATTTCTTCGTTATTTCATCAAAATGGAGACCACATCCTACAGTGTCTCCTTTTCCAAATCCAATTAAATCAAAATTTTTGAACTTAGCACCACAAGACCAATAGGTACCAATGTTAATAAAATTTAAAATTTTTGAAAATATTTCAATCAAAGAAAAAATTGCAGTTTTTTAATCGTTTTATCCTAATATTTTATTGAAATTATCATTTCAAGTCAAATAGTTTGATAAACCCTATCATATTTTAATACATGTAAATTAAAAGTCAAAATTTTCCAGATATTTTTTAAGCAAAACTACGAGTCCATTACGAGTAAAGTACAATAAGCATTTATGTTGTGCCAATTTATCTTAGAGACAAATTCCACAACCGATGGTGTCTCCGCCAATAAATCCAGATTGAGAAAATTTCACATGTTTTGAACCTGAATACCAATAAGTCCTAGTAATTGAAAATCCAAATGATTTTCGAGCGGTCCCAACTGCTGTGTTCGGGCCAAACAAAAAATTTTATATTGTCAAAAAAATCTGCATCTTCAAAAAACTTTTCAAAAACAAAATCATTTCAAACATTTCCTAAATAATTTCAATCAAGATTAGTTAACCATTTTCCCAACCATTTTCCCAAGATTAGTTAACCATTTTCAATTTTTAATACGCAATTACAATTTATACACAAATCACACAAATAATTTTATATTTCAGACAAAATCTTTATCTTCCAACAATTCTTAATTTTTGTACATAAAATAATTTTGTCCAAAGTTCATTTTCTCACTTGAATCAGTTCCAGACAAACTAATTGTTGGAAAAAGTCCATTGGACACATTTGCATTTTTCTTTTCACCTATAATTTTCAAAGTTAAATTTTATCTATTTTCTAAATTAAAACTAACCAATAAACGTAGAATTTCTTGTGAAGTAAATAAAATATTTCTTCGTTATTTCATCAAAATGGAGACCACATCCTACAGTGTCTCCTTTTCCAAATCCAATTAAATCAAAATTTTTGAACTTAGCACCACAAGACCAATAGGTACCCGTGTTGGAGAAGCCGTAGCTTTTTGGAACCTGCCCAACCGCGTTGCTTGAGTTGAATCAAAGTTTTTTGTTGAAAGTCCAATTCCAGCGGATCTTAAATTTAAATTAATGTTAAAAATATGAGAAAATTAATGTTAATAAAATTTAAAATTTTTGAAAATATTTCAATCAAAGAAAAAATTGCAGTTTTTTAATCGTTTTATCCTAATATTTTATTGAAATTATCATTTCAAGTCAAAATCTCATATTTTTAACATTAATTTAAATTTAAGATCCGCTGGAATTGGACTTTCAACAAAAAACTTTGATTCAACTCAAGCAACGCGGTTGGGCAGGTTCCAAAAAGCTACGGCTTCTCCAACACGGGTACCTATTGGTCTTGTGGTGCTAAGTTCAAAAATTTTGATTTAATTGGATTTGGAAAAGGAGACACTGTAGGATGTGGTCTCCATTTTGATGAAATAACGAAGAAATATTTTATTTACTTCACAAGAAATTCTACGTTTATTGGTTAGTTTTAATTTAGAAAATAGATAAAATTTAACTTTGAAAATTATAGGTGAAAAGAAAAATGCAAATGTGTCCAATGGACTTTTTCCAACAATTAGTTTGTCTGGAACTGATTCAAGTGAGAAAATGAACTTTGGACAAAATTATTTTATGTACAAAAATTAAGAATTGTTGGAAGATAAAGATTTTGTCTGAAATATAAAATTATTTGTGTGATTTGTGTATAAATTGTAATTGCGTATTAAAAATTGAAAATGGTTAACTAATCTTGGGAAAATGGTTGGGAAAATGGTTAACTAATCTTGATTGAAATTATTTAGGAAATGTTTGAAATGATTTTGTTTTTGAAAAGTTTTTTGAAGATGCAGATTTTTTTGACAATATAAAATTTTTTGTTTGGCCCGAACACAGCAGTTGGGACCGCTCGAAAATCATTTGGATTTTCAATTACTAGGACTTATTGGTATTCAGGTTCAAAACATGTGAAATTTTCTCAATCTGGATTTATTGGCGGAGACACCATCGGTTGTGGAATTTGTCTCTAAGATAAATTGGCACAACATAAATGCTTATTGTACTTTACTCGTAATGGACTCGTAGTTTTGCTTAAAAAATATCTGGAAAATTTTGACTTTTAATTTACATGTAAAACATAATGGGCTCTATCCAATTATTAATATTTCTGGTGCTGATGTGGCTGCAAAAGTCCTCCCCGTCCATGATAATTCATTCTTTTTACTTGTTTTTATACATAAATTTATTCCCAAAATTTGCATCTGCTACAGCATCTTTTCCAGACAATGCAATAGTTGCAAACATAAAGTCATGTTTGTCAATTTTGATTTGCTTCCCTATAAGTTTGAAATTTTACACGAAATGGTTTTATGATTGTTAAGTTTTGTTTAAATCTCAAAATTTGACTTTCAAACTTATAGGGAAGCAAGTCAAAATTGACAAACATGACTTTATGTTTGCAACTATTGCATTGTCTGGAAAAGATGCTGTAGCAGATGCAAATTTTGGGAATAAATTTATGTATAAAAACAAGTAAAAAGAATGAATTATCATGGACAGGGAGGACTTTTGCAGGCAACAGAAATATTAATAATTGGATAGAGCCCATCATGTTTTACATGTAAATTAAAAGTCAATAAAATGTTTTCGATATTTTTGGCCTTTTTATGGTTTCTGACTGTTTTTAATTTTTGGTTTGAAAGATTATCTTTTTGTAGGAAGGAAACTTTCCTTGTTTAAGAATATACACATTAGGTTTTTGGTGATTTTGCTTTATGTATTAAATTTTTTGTCTACAACTATTCGATGAAAATGCCTTTAAATATTTCGCCTTCTTTTGGCTGTTTTTTGTTCAGAAAACATTTTTTTCACGAGTTCCGGAAAATATTTTTCCGGATTCTGAAAAAATTTTTCCAGAAGACTTTTTTCCGCTCCCTGGATTTTTCCCAGAAAATATTTTCCGGATTTGCTTTAAAAAATGGTTTTTATAAAATTTATGGAATGTTTGAGATCATTTTGTTTTTGATAAGTTAAGTATTTTAGAAGTTTGTTAAAAAAATTTCATTCAAATAATTAAGAAAAATACACAAATTTTATCATTTTAAAAATTCCATCTTGACACATAAATTTTAATTAATGCTAAGTTGTGGGCAATAGAAACACCTTTTTTTGACATTACATTTATGTTTAATTGTATTTTCTCCGTTCGAGGCCCCTTTATAGGTCTTGAAAGGTAAAGAATACCTTAAAAATTAATAAATTGTTAAATAATATTTTTGGGCAGTAAATTTAATAAGCTCATGCTTTAGAAATAAACTTAGATATAATTCTGAAAGATCAAACTTAAGTAAATAAACTCAAGTTTTAAAATAAACTCAAGTCTGTAAAAATAAACTTAGTTTTAAGTTTGTAAGGATAGACCTAAACTTAAGTTTGTAAAAATATTTTTAAAGAAACTTAGTCTGCAAAAATACTCTTGTTTTATAAAACTTAAGTTTTTAAAAATAAGCTTAAACTTAAGTCTGTGGAATAAACTTAAGCTTAAGTTTGTGGAATAAACTTAAACTTAAGTTTATTAAAAAAGTAATTTATAAACTCAAGTCTATAAAAATAAACTTAAGTTTAATAAACTTGAATTTTAATAAACTTGTCTTTAAAATTAAAAATGCTTACCAACATTTCCTTGTTGTTCAACAAAAAAATCTTTGGCATTTTCTCCATTAATTATATATTCAATATTAAATACTATATTATTTATTTTTGTTGTTATTCGAGATATCTACATAAATAATCGGATAATTTTTTGATTATTTAACTACCTCAATCGGCTTTTTCAAAAATTTCATTGACAGGACAGTTCTAAATTGGTAGAGAATTTCCCTTGTATAATTGCTGAGACAGATAGCATCATTGGGATGACAATTTTTTATACAAGAATAGCCATCTTCTACTTGACTGAAATTATTCTTTGAATTAAATTTTAAAATTTTTTTAAAAATAATGCTCAAACTTTTTTTTGAAATAGTATTTGGGCTATATTCCTTTACCTTTACTAGGAAACTTAGGTCTTTAAAATAAACTTAAGTCTGTCTGGTTTGTCTCTCCCCAGATTTAAAACCGCGATTTCTTCAGAACTTGATAACAAAAGGAGCCTTCTTTTAAACTAAGGCATAGTTCATTAATAAAATTCTTTGTTAATAAAATTTATAAATTAAAAAAAACTAGCATTTCATTTACTATATTAAAAATAAAAAATTAGTATGTATTAATAACACACACAAATACATATTTAAAACAGCACAAAAAACAAAGCAATGTTAACTAAACTTAAAATATTAAAAAAACGAGATCTAAAAATTTTTTCCAACTTTTCTTCCAATATTCAAAGTCTACGAATTCTGTGTAAACGGCTATGTTGTGTTTGGGGACGATATTGTGAAACAAAGACCTAAATTAATTTTCTTTAATTTGTTTAAATTTTAAAATTAATCAAAATTGGCAGAGAGAGAGATTTTTTAGATAGCCACAATACCAGATACAACTTTATTTAAGATACGTTTTCAAAAATTGTAGATGGCTACTAGGTGATGGAGCTACCTAAGCGATACACCTTATGTAAGGAAACCCTACTTATAAGTTAGGGTTTAGGCTTCAAAAGCCTATCTAAATATGAGGTCTGACTTATTTTAATCCAAATTATTTATTTTTAAATATTAAAAAATTTGTCTACAAGCAAATTAGCAACATATTTCCCATTAAATTGCCCATTAGTTGTTAACCGAAGGGTTAATTCTAAATGAACTTCTTGAGGTCCATCCAACGAATCTCTTAATGCAATTATTGCAGAATTGTGATCCTCTCCTTTAAAAAATAGTGAAAACAATGAAAATTAAAAAACTCCAAAGCAGACCTTTCTGAAGCAAAAAATTTGCTCGTATTGCGGGAGTAACTGAATCAGAGCCTAAATTATAATTTAAAAAGAATGGTTATCTTTTTGCTGATAATATATTTTTAAAACTGAGTGGCTTAATAAATGATATTATTAGGGCTAGCCAAAAGATGCAAATGCATGTTTTGTATGCGAGTTTGCCTTAAATTGGGAAGCCCAAAATTGCTGTTTTTACGTTGGTCCGAGTGTTTTACGTCGGTTTTTCCGTGCATATTTTGGCTAGCTCTAGATATTATGTATTAAATTCAGATTAGGATTTAAAAAAAGGCCATTCATTCCAAAGTAAATTGGCAAAACCCATCCCAGAAAATAATAAAGTATTGGATGGACCTTGATCCACCTACATTTTTAGGCTTAATAAGACGCCTATTAAAGATTTTTATAGGAAGACTTTTAAAAGAGAAGAGTCCAAGAGAACTAGAACGTTGAAAGAATCATCTTAAAAATAAATTAAAGTCCACCTTGTTTGGCACTAACCAAACGAAGTTCAAATTGCATGGAAGAATCCTGATTGGGAGGACCCTATAGCGAAATAAAAAATTTTTTTAAATAAAAAAAATTATTTTTAACCTTCATAGAGAAAAGCGTCACAGAAGTTCTGTGAAGAGAAATATTCACTTGCTTTTGGAAAAAATTTAAAAAAAAATTTCTCAAAAACTAAATACTTTAGGTATAGCAATATGCTGCCATGAGATATGAATAGGCAATTTTTTGCATCTTTCCAGAAACATATTTTCGCAGTGTCCTGGTCTTTTCAGGCAACGACTTTTATTTAAATTTTATAAATCAGGAAAGAATGTTAAAAATTAAAAAAATGTTTTATAAGTTATTTAAATTAATTTAAAAATTAGTAAGAAAAGCAAAAATAAATTACATAGTAGGTTAGTAACATTAAGTAAAAGTTATCCAAAATATGGAGATCTCGTCTAATATGTATGGAGACAGTGTTAGGAAATTTAAAATTTGTTTGTACTCGTGCTTAAAATACAGGTACGACTATGAAACACTAATTGGGGGTAGAGTTCTCGGAATTGAGAGGCAAACGGAAGGGAAATAGTAGTGCCGTTTAAGGCAGCTCACTTTTTCATCTATTCTTGGCTTTGTTGGTTACTTTTGAGATTTTATTGTTTTGGGTGGAAAAGGGTGCATTAAACGACATTGGAAATTCTCCAAGGAACTTTTAAGTTACTTGTTAAAAGTTAAAAACTATTCATTTTACTTTTTAAAAGTCCTGTCAGGAATATAATTACGTGGACATTCAATCCGTTCACACTTAAAGCTGCCCAATAAATTAATACAGATTTGGTCGATATTACACAAATTTGAATTTTCTGAGCATTCATCAATATCTTTAAATAGATTTAGATGGTTAAATTAAATTACTAAAGAGGAGGAGAACTATCAATTACCTATTTTATAAAAAAAGTCCGCAAAATAAAAAATACTCCACAAAAAAGTTGCGGACAATCTGCAAAATTTTTGCGGATATGTGCCCTCTTCAACAGCAACGCTTGACAATTCAAAAAATTTTTTATTCACCTTTACAAGTAATCCCATCAGACATGACTTGATAACCTTCTGGGCATGTACAAAGAAATGACCCTGGAGTATTTATACATTTTCCCATACATAATTCATTTCCTATAAATGTTAATTATTTTTAATAAAAAGATCAAGTCCGCAAAAATATTTTTGAATTAGCCCACCCGACTTGGCCCAAATTTTGCATTCATCAATATCTTCACATGTGGCTTCATCTATTCCCAATTGATACCCTAAAAATATTTTTTCTGGTTTTATGTATTTCAGGAAATTATCACCTCGATCGCAAATGCACTGATAAGAGCCTGGTGAGTTAATACATTTTTGTTGACATTTGGCTATACCAAGTTCACATTCGTTTATATCTTAAATTTAAAAAATGTCCGCAAATGTCAGAATACATAAAGAATGTCCGCAAAAACTGTCCGCAAAAAATTGTCCGCAAATTTTTTACTAGTTTATTTAATTTCCCCTACCATCACAACTTCTATTATCTGCAGCTAAACTAAATCCAGGCTTGCATATACATTGATAAGAGCCAATAGAATTAACACAATCAGCTTGTAGTGAGCAAGCATGTCCAGAGAATTTAATACATTCATTAATGTCTTCGCAACGCCTTAATGGGGAAAAGTGTTTTTTAAATTAATAAGTCACAAAAAATCTGCAAGAAATGGCCGCAAAAAATTTTTTATTAACTCAAATAGTCCGCAAAAATGTTTCCGCAGAAAGGACGTTCGTTTTCTTCAGTAGACAACACCGGCTATTAGAGCTTACAGCACCCTAGATAATTTTTAATGAGAGTTTTTACATTGTAAATTCATTAAATTCAAAGCCTGCAGCACACTTGCAACGATACATTCCTGGAAGATTGATGCAATCAGCAATGGATGTGCAAGTATGTGTTCCACGTTGGCATTCATCAATATCTTCACAAATAGATTAACAATAGAATTTCTAAGGACAAACCAAGGCAAAATCCGCTCTCTCTGTCCATATAATATCCATTAGAACACACATTCCCCTGCTCTTGACAACGAAATGAGCCTGGTGTATTTACACCTTTTAAGTAATAATAAAATGAATAAGAATAAATTTTCCCTTTACCAGAGATGCATGAAAAGTTTCATTTCGTGATTGTCTCGAGAAAAGAGAAAAAGGAAAATGAATTTTTCTTTACGTTTCTTAAGGCAAAGGAAAGGAGACGAAATGATTCATGCATCTTTTGAATGGTTTCTGGTGGTTCCAGTTCGGGTATACAAGAACAAACTCCACTCTCTGCTTCCATGGTTCCTTCAATTCCACGTTTTAACAGTTCCGAGGTTCTTGGGAACTTTTAGCACCGGATATCGTTTTCAGGTAACAGCCATAAACCGAAATAACACTAGAATAAAACTCACATTCCTCATAAAAAGGACAAGCATTAGCCTTCTCCCTACATTCATCAACATCTTCACAACGTCCATCTCTAGGTCTATATCCAGGCGGACAATTTACTGACTAACAAAAAATATTTAAATTTCATTTATTTTTCCAAAAAATACTTTGCATTCCCCAGTTCCAGGGTCCAAAACTTGATTATCTTCACAACGCTTAGGCACACAACGAAAGCTTCCCTGAGTATTTTTACATTGGTACATAGGTCCACAATCGTGTGCTCCAAGTGTGCATTCATCCACATCTTATATATAAAATGATGGTTTTACTGAGAGAACTTTTTCGCAATTAAAGTAAAGCCTACAAATTAATCCTAATTATTCCCTAATGAACCTTTAAAGCTTTGAAAACGCTGTCGCAAATTTTAGGTTGGATCCATATTTGCTCTGTTATCAAGATCTATTAGAGACCAACATTTTTGAAAAGCCTGGGCCTGTTCCTGGGTTCCGGGTTTGATTTATTGACTGGGACGGATCCTGGGCCTGTAGTCATGGAATAAACCAGGAGGGTCAAAAAATGCCTGGGCCTGGACTCTGGGTACGGGAAAAACCAAGACCTTGGTCCAAACCCAGCTCGATCTCTCGGATTATAGCCTAATTTCGTTAGTTTCCTATGTTCTAGTAGAGCCGCTACTTTTCCCTAATTCTCTCACGAGGTAAAGAGTTGGCCGTTCAAATAAAAGGACCGTACAAGTAGAGGAAATAAGATAATACTTCCTATTTGAAATTTTGCTACTAATAAAGTCTGTAAATTTCCACAAAAAATGTCGCAAAGAATGTCCGCAATTTTTTAAAATTCCAATTAATTACCCTCTAACATCACAATAAATTAATATAAATCACAACAAAATTAGATTATGCTAATAAAATTTTAATAAATTTTTTCCCCAAACAAAATTTCCATAAATAACCTACCAACACACTGTTCAGTTTCACTATCCATTGCATAACCAGTTCCACCCGAAAATTAGGCTTTTATTTATTTTTAAAATTTTTTTAGTCTTACAAGACTTTGTTCTAATACATTTGTAAGCTCCAGGCTGTTAAACAAAATTTTTAAAAATAAAAAAAATTGTTAGTTACTGTATTTAAACAACGTTGAGATTCTAAACAATCATCTACCAACAAAAGACATTCGTCAATATCTGAGGGGATTTTTTTGATTGTTATTTTAATTGTTATTTTAAATAATGAAAAATTTTTGCATTGGTTTAAGCAGAATTACGAAAATTTAAAAAATGGGAGCATCCGGGAATGATAGTGGATACAAAGGGAAAGGCGTTTAGAATGGGAAACAAAGTCCAAAAAACTTCCAAAATTTTGACAATGGAATTAAAAATATAGACCGGACTGGGAGTGTCGTACTAGAGTCGAGACCTCGAAAAATTCTCGATCTCGATAACCAAGATTTTCGATCGAGATCTTGTCTCGGTCCGGTCTCTAATTAAAACCAAAAGGATCTAAAAAATTTTCTTCGGTATTTTTAGGGTTTGAACCCTGAAATAACTTTTTAAAAATGCCAAGGGGTATGAAACAGGAAAAATGAATCTCTCTTTCGTATTTTAGCAAAATTAGGAAAAAATTAATTAGAAAAATTTATGCGTAAAGGGAAAGTTAAGTAAGCAAACAAACCAACACAAACATTCCCGGCATTACTCCAATAAAATCCAGTAGAACAAACACAAGAAAACGTTCCTTGTAAATTCAAGCATTGAGTATTAAATTCAGAACAGAGGGCAAATCCGTGACTGAGACATTCATCGATGTCTTTTAGGACAAAACAAAGGAATTAGTTAAATGGATTAATTTAAACGGATTAATTAAGAAGAGGGGGGTGATTAGAAGAAAAGCAAAGAACAAAGCAGAAAATTAGAAGAAAATAAAAATAAAAAATAACAAGAAACAAAAAATTTTTTTTATCTGTACACTAGTACGTGTCCGCAAATGCTATTTAATCACGGAACATTTTCACGAAAAACGCCAGGTTAATCGCCTGAGAGGGCTTGAGATGACTCTTGCGCAGGCTAAAAGTCATTGAAATAGAACCTTACAATACATAAGTACCCTCCCAATATTATATGAACCTCCCTTTAAGAGACGTTTTAAATTTGGTTGGCGTGTGCGATAAAATGCTTAAGTCCTTACGAAAATACTTCTCATTCTAAGTACAATTTTTCAGCCCTAAAGGAATCTAGGCGAGATTGTATTAAGTGCTTAATTTTTATTTTATTCTTCAGCACCACAAACCAATAAAAGTAGTCGATGCATGTTCCTCCCTTCCTCCTCCATTTCGACCTGACCAGAATGCAGGCATTCCTCCTCTATTGCCAACAGTTTTGTAAACAAATCTGCCATTATTTTTGACCCTTTGTGGACCTCTTTTTGGAGTTTTTGGGCTCAATTTTGGCTCCTTAGATTTTGAAGTAGCAACATTTTTAGCAGGCCGGCACCCATATCCGCCAATTATGTTAACACATATTTCGCGTTTGAAATCGCATAAAGGCATTTTTTGATAGTTTAAGGGAGGTGAATTGAATTGGAAATTATTTGGATTGTTCTGCTGTAGTTGGTGACATTCGTCAATATCTGTGTTTTCATAAGAAGGAATACGAATAAAATTAATACAGAGCTAGGAAAGGGATGAATATTTGGGGTAAAAAAATTTTATGTAGTTAGAAAATAGAAATGTGAAAATGAAGGGAAATGAAGGGAGGAAAGCAGATGTATGAGATTGAGTTGATTAACAATTCAATAATCAACATACCGACACACGAACGGCCATCGGGTGCTAAATCAAAACCTGAACGACAGCTACATTGTGAAGTACCCTAAAAATATAATTTTAATCAGAGACTGGACGGGAAAGGACGCGAATCTTGGTCCAACCTCTAAGTTTAATCTATAGGGTTATCTAATTTTGGGGTAAACAAAAATTTTAAACTTGCATCTTCTCGAATGGTACACAAATGTTCACATTTTGCATTTGAACAGCTCGAGGCTAAATAAAAGTAAAATAGCCACGAAATATTTTTGATTCTTATTTAGTAATTTAAATTACCATTAGTAACACCTTCAAGGTCAATTGAAAGGCCTACGCTTTGAACTTGGGAGGAACCTTTACGAGAAAATTATTTCGTTAAATTTTAAATAATGACCAATAAAGGAAGGTTTATTAGCTGCTGTTTGATTACAACATTTATTAAAAGCCTCCAAACAATCAGGGCTAAACCCGATTGGGGCGATACAAGCTTCGTTACGTTCAGACAATTCTTTTGCAAGTAGACAACAATCACAACATTCCTAGAATAAGAGAAGCTCTACAGGTGCCGAGTTATCTATTAATATAAACGGATCTCATGATGGAACCAGCCCGGTTTAGGTTACATTCTTAGGAAGCTTTTTAGAGAGTTTTAAGGAGCTATGCCCCCACAATTAATGGATTATCTTTATTTGAGGTTATTTTTCCAGCCACAACCTAACTGTGTTTATTGATGGGCGATTATCACTTGATGGAGGAGCTACCTCAGCTTTACTGCCGAATAATTGTCGTATTTTTAATTTACATGGTGAATCTGTTAGTGAGGATTTAAAGGATGTATCTTTAAGTGAGGTCCGCCTGTGTTAATTGAAATATCTGCTCACCATTTTAACCCCACCAGCTAGCTCATTTATATTCACAGCAGAACAAACTTTATGCCTCTGTGCGTATAGAAGACCGGCTTGACAGGAGGCGTCGATTAATGAACGGAGACAACAAATTGAACCTGCTCTATTGCAGGAATGGGAAGAACCGACTTGAAGGGGTTGAAAAAAATTTTTTATAAAAATTTCCAATAAACCAGCTCTAACAGAAACACAATTTCCATGTTCTTTAAAGTGTTTAGAACCACCAGAACAACAACGGGAAAGTTCATTGGATGCTGTAAATTGAGGGAAGAGGAGGAGACTAAGGCCTGGATTAAATTTTGAAATTTTTTTTTAATTTTGAAAATTTGTCTACCGAGAAGAAGGGAATAATGAAGAGACATTGGAGCCTTTTAAATTTTTATAAAATCAAGGCAAATAAATTTAAATTCATTTTAGGGAGAAAGGAAGGTATTTGTTTTAAATAAAAAATAAATTGTGTCTGAAAATGTGTCTGAAGCTTTAAAAAAATTTTTTGGAGGAATTTGCTGATAAAATAAAAAATTAAGATAATTAAGGATTAATTAAAAACAAAAAAAACAAAACAATCAGACAGACAATCCTCTTGTTTTTCTTCAAGAGTTTCAACATACCTTGATACATTTTTCTTACATTTCCCGTTCTAATATACAAAATATAAAATATTTGAGTAAAAATAATTATTGATAAGACTAACAAAAATTGATAAAAATTAAAAATGAGAGTGAAGGGAATGATTAGAGATAATGGAAAGAATGATTGATAGAAAGTAAATTGAATTGAATATATTAGTTAGAACTGTATTAGATGTACTGAGATTGATCCAAATTAATTTAAAAATTAAATTTTAAATTTAGTAAAGCAGCTGGGCTATAGCTATTTCTCTCCTTCAACTAGTGCAAGGGGTTATTCGGCGGCTTGAAGCAAACCAGCATCTTCAGTAGACCGGACTGATGTGTTAGCCATTACACCATGCCGCCTACTGCACGGCTTTAGGAATGAATAGCTATATGCTTTACAATTTTAACATTCATCTACTTTTAAATTTGTCCAAAATTTGATAATTTTCAATTTAGGTTTTATCTAATTTTCAATTTGATTGGCCACTAAATGGGGGGGGGACAACATAAGCTATGTATTCCAGCACTTAAGTTTACAACCTGAAAAGATTTTTTAATTATATGATTTAGGATTGAACTTGAAAACTTGGATGAAATCTACAAAAGTAAATTTGGGCAACTTAACAATAGAGAGAGTAAAGCAGCTGGGCTATAGCTATTTCTCTCCTTTAGCTAGAGCAAAAGGTTATTCGGCGGCTGGGAGCGAACCAGCATCTTCAGTAGACCGGACTGATGTGTTAGCCATTACACCACGCCGCCTACTGCTCAGCCTTAGGAAATTAATATGCTTTACAAGAGCGAGATTTTCAAAAAACCTTGACCTTGATCCGTGACCTTGATTTAGGCTAGGTACCTTGACCAGACTCTTGACCTTGAGTCAAGGAAAAATCAAAATACTCTGAAAAATGCCTTGATCTGCCCTTTAGATCCAGGAAAAATCAAGGTCTGGATCCAGATCCAGCTCGCTCTCTACTTAACAAACTTGAATACACCTCATTATGCAGCCTAGAGGGTATCAAAAAGTGAGAGGCGATTGTAACTAATTTGACATTTATTTGAGGAAGTGATTTTTAGAAGACTGAATTAAAAAAATTTTAAATCAATAGAAATAAAATATTAAAAAGCATATCAGGTTTCCTTGCAAATATTTAAGAATATTACGAGAATAGCCATGAGTAAAATAAAAAAAGTAAAAATATCAATTTCTTAAATGAGTCGGCAAGTTTTGCTTTAAGAGAAGAAAAAACAAAGTTTAATCCTTGATCACAAAAACTTAAGTTTACAAACTTATAAAATGTTTAAGCGTAAAAGTTAAGCTTGAGCTTAAACTTGGAATTTGTATAGTAATTAAAACAAAATTAAACTTAACCAACTTAATAAGCTTGAACTAGCAAAAACAAGTGGACAGACAACATAAGTTTGCAAACTTGAAAAGATCTTTTAATTATGTGATTTAAGTTTGAACTTGAAAACTTAACGAAGCTACAAAACTAAAGTTGACCAACATAACAAACTTGTCTAAAAATAGATGAATGAACCTAAGTTTTAGTGATGCTCGGGAGAAGAAAAAACCCGGGAATTGGGAAACGGGAGTCGGGTCGGGAAATGACCTCGGGAGTCGGGATCGGGAGTCGGGAATTAGCAATAAAAAAATTTTTGGCGCCTTCGGCGCCAAAAATTTCTGATATTTTGCATCGTGGGTGAAAATATTGAAAATTTTGGAATGTAAAGAAGCTAGACATCTTCCTTACTTAGCGCCGTAGGCGAAAATTTTGAGAACTTTTAGGTCAAGAAGCCAGATTTCTTCCATTTTTTGCGCTGGAGGCAAAAATTTTGAGAACTTTGGAGGTGAAAAATAATACTAAATTTAAATCGTTCTCACGAGAAAAAAAGAGGTTAATCATAATCATCGTCTCAGACTCCGATAAAATTGTCGGAAATCCTCGGATATTCAAATCCGATATCCTAACCGAAAATTTTGGACACCCGTGTCCAGAACAGAAGGTTATATTTTTAAAATTTTTGAGAGTGGCACTGAAAATTTGACTCCATTGGAGTGAAATAGAGGAGAAAAGAGTGACACAGAGAAAAATATTTTTACGTTCAATTTTGATGGAATTTTAGTGATTTAGCCACATATCTCTTCATATCCCCTCTATAGTATTAACACCCCCTATGCAACATTAATCACTCAAATCCATTGATATCTCTCTTTATTACTGCAAATCCCTTATCTCTTCAGATTCACCATAATCCTAGTAAATTACAGAAATCTTCTACATATACTACAACTCCACAGCTTCTTCCCTTTTCAGCGCCGCAGGCAAAAATTTTGGGAATTTTGGAAGACCAAGTGGCCAGATTTCTTCATTTTTTATAAATAAAAATATAATTTTGCCAGAAAAAGTCATTCTTAGGGGTGTAAAAATTTCCCGACTTAGTCGGGAATTGACATCGGGAGTCGGGATCGGGATCGGGAGGCCAAAAACTCGGGAAATTTTCCCGAGTCGGGAGTCGGGATCGGGATACCCGAGCATCACTACTAAGTTTACAAACTTAAAAAAAGTTTAATAAAAGAGTTTCTGCTATAAAAGCTGCCACTTTTTTCCATTCACAACAGCTTCTACAAAACAATCTTCACATCTCTACGATCAAAACATTAGCAACAACGTTCTTCATGCTCGTTCGCTGCCTTCTTCCAATGGAGCTCGAAACCGGCCCTGGAACAAAGAAGTCATCAACGCTGTGCTCCTTTCTGCTCGTCATCGCAACATTCCTTGTGCTTGAAGTACCCGGACAGTCCAACAATGACGGAAGCGTCGGAGTCGCCAATCACAAATTGATTGGCAAGAAAGTTACGCTTGTCAACTACACCATCGAGGCTAACGAGACAAACTTCAACTCCGACGAGTACAGGATGCGCTTCCCGAATGCATGTGATGTTAAGATCGACAACGATACCATGTAAGCTTGCTTTTTTCAAAGATTTACTTCAGATCAAATTGTTTTCTATTTCAGTGAGCTTCAGTACAACAACAGTGGATGCACAGTGGATCTGCTCATCAAGAACGAAGACTACAACAAAAAGATCAAGTTCAAGGCTGGAGTGAGGAACAAAGGAGGAGAGCTCAAAAGTTGTCTTAAGAATGCCGTCCATGTTAAGTACAGCTCTAATAATATGTAGGTTTTGAATTTTTGAAAAATTTGATTTCTGCCTTTTAGTATGCCCTTCGTCTACAGCAAAAACAACAAGGTCGTCGAAAGGCTCAGCCATGGTCCAATCTATGATCACGAGGATAAATGTAACAAACAACAGTGTGGATTATGTATGCCGTGGACGACTCTCGAAATCTCATGGAGCAAGTCTGGTAGAGATGTCTATGCATACACTCATCTAGGTAAAATAAAACGATTACTGATACATTTATTTACCTTTGTCCTTTCAGTTGGTGAAGTTGAGCTTGGTGAAAAGCTGCGTATAACTCAAGGTGGAAACGAAATAGTAACCTTCGACATGGAGGTTGAAGGCGTAGGCAAATTCAAGATGGGTCCGAACTCATTCAAGGCTTCGAAAAATGTACTCTGCGTTCCAGAGAACAATCCCATCGTCGAACCAGAAACATGGACCATCACAAATGAGAATCTGATAAATAGACGACTACTCGTCTTCAGCATGCTTCCAGTGAATGCGTCTGTTGGAACACATGATGGAACAAAGTTTGCGGGTACACCACCACCCGGACCGCATTGTAATCTCTTCGTTCAATTTGTGAGTTTCTACATTACTTTTCTGTAAAAACCTCATTAAATTTATTTGATTTAGGACAGAAATAACTACGAGCTGCTGTTTGTCTCTCTTCCGCCACAGACAACGACGACAACTATATCGACTACAAAAAGTTTTCCAACGGATCCGGAAACACCTGAAACTTCAACGTGTGCTCCTTGTCCATCGTCGACTTCAGTAATTACAACAATTACGGCCAAAAACATCTCATCACCAGCGTTAAAGTGTCCAGCGGAGAGTAAGTGCCCGACAGAATCCAAAGGATGGCTGTTTTATCTGATTTTGGTTGCCGCTATTGTTGAAGGCCTAATCATCATTGGAATCTTGGCATGGTTCACACGGTCATGGAAGAAGGGGAAACACAGTTGCGAAAAAGAATGTGAGGTCTGTACCAAGTATGAGCAGTACCTGTACGGCCTGTACTCAGCTGAACCACAAGTTGGGGAGAGGATCAAGACATTTGCGGCATGGAAGGAAGAAGTAAGTTTAGAAATCAAAAAATATTTACTAAAAAAATTATTTCCCCGATTTTTCAAGAAAAAGTTGGACGACCCAGGGTCAGTATTCAATTGCGTTCCGATTGAAACATTGGCCGTTGCGATGTGGAATAGGGCAAAGAAGGAGAAGATCAAAGACAAGTTGCAATTCCTCGTAGACGAGTTTGTGAAGCATAAGGACAAAGAGATCTACGATCGCGAATATGCTCCGGAATTGACTAAAAAGGGATATGATGGCGTTGGGAGTTTCCAGGAATGGAAAATGGTGAAAAATAATTTTTTGAATGTCAACTAGTCAGTTTTATATTTCAGGAAAGGAACATCAATCCGTTCGAAGTGATCGATGGAACAACAACTGCGATTGAATATGGAGCGTCAAAGAGAGTCGTCGATAAGCCATTGCTTCCCGGGGCCAGCATCGATGACAAGAGAAGTATGGTGTAAATTGTGTGCCCGGAAGTTCTGAAGGTGACGCTTGAGATGTAAAAATGAGATATTCTGTATATTGTTCCTTTGTTATGTCCCTATATATTGCTCCCATTCCCTATACTCCTATATATGTATAATTTCTATCGTATGTAATATATATTTTTTATTGTTTGTATTGTATGTGTTTGTAAATAAATTGGGTTGA